ATGTAAAATTAACTTTTTCATGATGAAAAACATGTACTAAGAATCAACTACTTACTTCTTGAACTTTGCTTCTTTAATTCTCTTAATACTCGTTGTACGCAACTAATTTACTACAAACAAACAACAACGTACACCACGAAAAGAGTCACGATTAACGTCCGTTTCTTCTATATCAAACCGTTTCCCTGTCTTTCTAAACCATATCCTTTTTCTTAACAAAACAATGCATCGTCTTAGAATACTCGAGACCTGTGTTAAAAACTTCCGCGATAACACTACCTTATCTTGAAACTAATTAGCTTCTAAGCAGCGATAAACAACTTAACACGTAACACAACTGAACAAAGATCAAAACAAAATAAAAGGCGATTATTTAAACAAAATTAACATTCAATAAATAATTATAATACAAAACCTCAATAATGCATATAAAGGGTGTCCCATCATTATTGCAAGTGCCGAAGCCAAATACCATATGATTTACCATCGATTTTTGGTGGCTTAACTCGAATTTCTGTCGTAACAATACATTTTCGAGAGCGAACGGTTAATAAGCCCAACCCAGCAACGTGTAAATATTATGGTGGAGGACAAATTTGGTTTCTGCTGATTAGAATTTGACTTACCTACCCCAAAACGCAAGAATAAGTGGGTTAACGTAAATTCTATTAATTTGAAAAATTCAGTAGTCTTAAGCGCCTCCAAAAGTTCTAAGAATTAATTAAGGAATTTTTAATAACACCTGACTCTCACTCTGAGTAGGTACCACTAAAAAATGTTAACTTGAGAACCTTAATGTGGGTGGTAATTTAGGCTCGATTAAACACATTTACAGATGAAATAAATGTATTCGATGTAAATCAATCAAATAAGCTGAAAGAAAAATAGTCGCTGAGGGCCAGAAGACAAATACTACACTAGGTGCTAAACGCACAAACAAACACAAAAACTAGCTGATGTTGCTTCTGGAACTTTCTTTACTTCCTTACTTGTACTTAAACTTAAACTTATTTGAACTACAGATGTAAAATTAACTCTTTCATGATGAAAAAACGGGTACTAAAAATCAACTACTTACTTCTAGAACTTCACTTCTTTAATTCTCTTAATACTCGTAATACGCAACTAATTTACTTCTACAAAAACTTTCCAAGACTAACTGGTTCTGCACTAATTCATTTAAATACGTCAAAACTGCCAACCGCCAAAACAAATTGACGTACACGACCAAAAGAATCACGATTAACGTCTGTTTCTTCTATATAAAACCATTTCCCTCTCTTTCTAAACCATATCCTTTTTCTTAACAAAGCAATGCATCGTCTTAGAGTAATCGAGACCTGTGTTAAAAACTTCCGCTACAACACTACCTTATCTTGAAACTAATTAGCTTTTAAGCAGCGATAAACAACTTTTGTCACAACGGCCGGAGATAATACTATTACAAATACTTTCTCCTTTAACACGTAACACAACTGAACAAAGATCAAAACAAAAGACGATTATTTAAACAAAATTAACATTCAATAAATAATTATAATACAAAACCTCAATGTTTAACGTTAAAAATAATTGAAATGCATACAAAAGGTGTCTCATCGTTATTGCAAGTCCCGAAGCCAAATACCACGTGATTTACCATCGATTTTTTGTGGCTTAACTGGAATTTCTGTCGTACCAATACCTTTTCGAGAGCTTCTTTGAGGGGCGAACAGGACAAATTTGGTTTCTGCTGATTGGAATTTGACTTACCCCAAAACGCAAGAGTAAGTGGGTTATTGACGTAAATTCTATTAATTTGAAAAATTCAGCAGCCTTAAGCGCCTCCAAAAGTTCAAAGAAATGAATTAAGGAATTTTCAATAACACCTGACTGAGTAGGTACCACTAAAAAATTTTAACTTGAGAACTCTAACCTGTGTTGTAATTAGGGCTCGATTAAACACATTTACGGATGAAATAAATGTATTCGATGTAAATCAATCAAATAAGCTGAAAGAAAAATAGTCGCTTAGGGCCAGAAGAGAAATACTACGCAACAAGGGACCAATATAACAAATTAATTAATTAATTAAGTTATTCATTTTTAATTAAAAGAAATCTTAATTATCTTAAAGTGCTACTCGGTGATAAATATCAAAAATGTCGGGGCGTAACTGCGATTTTCAACAAGCAAAACACACAAACAAACACAAAAACTAGCTGATGTTCTGGAACATTCTTTAGTTCCTTACTTAAATTTAAACTTATTTGAATTACAGATGTAAAATTAACTCTTTCATGATGAAAAACCGGGTACTAAGAATCAACTACTTACTTTACAGCCACTTCATTTCTTTAATTCTCTTAATACTCGTAGCACGCAACTAATTTACTTCTATAAAAACTTTCCAAGACTAACTGGTCTTGCACTAATTCATTTAAATACGTCAAAACTGCCAACTGCCAAAACAAATTGACGTATACGACCAAAAGAGTCACGATTAACGTCCGTTTCTTCTATATAAACCCATTTCCCTGTCTTTCTAACCCATATCCTTTTTCTTAACAAAGCAATGCATCGTCTTAGTTAGAGTAATCGAGACCTGTGTAAAAAACTTCCGCGACAACACTACCTTATCTTGAAACTAATTAGCTTTTAAGCAGCGATAAACAACTTTTATCACAACGGCCGGAGATAACACTGTTACAAATACTTTCTCTTTTAACACGCAAGACAACTAAACAAAGATCAAAACAAAAGAAAAGGCGATTATTTAAACAAAATTAACATTCAATGAATAATTATGATACAAAACCTCAATTTTTAATCTTAAAAATAATTGAAATGCATATAAAGGATGTCCCATCGTTATTGCAAGTGTCGAAGCCAAATATCACTTGATTTGCTATCGATTTTTGGTGGCTTAACTCGAATTTCTGTCGTACCAATACCTTTTCGAAAGCTTCTTTGAGGGACGAACAGTTAATAAGCCCAACCCAGCAACCTGTAAATATTATTGTGGAGGACAAATTTTGTTTCTGCTGATTAGAATTTGACTTACCCAAAAACGCAAGAGTAAGTGGGTTATTGACGTAAATTCTATTAATTTGAAAAATTCAGCAGCCTTAAGCGCCTCCAAAGGTTCAAAGAATGAATTAAGGAATTTTTAATAACACCTGACTCTGAGTAGGTACCACTAAAAAATTTTAACTTGAGAACTCTAATCGTTGTCGTAATTAGGGTTCGATTCAACACATTTACAGATGAAATAAATGTGTTCGATGTAAATCAATAGAATAAGCTGAAAGAAAAATAGTCGCTTGGAGCCAGAAGACAAATACTACGCAACAAGGGACCAATATAACAAATTAATTAATTAATGAAGTTATTAATTTTTAATTAAAAGAAATCTTAACTATCTTAAAGTACTACTCGGTGCTAAATATCAAAAATGTCGGGGCGTAACTGCGATTTTCAACAAGCAAAACGCAAAACACAAAAACTAGCTGATGTTGCTTCTGGTACTTTCTTTACTTCTTTACTTGTACTTAAATTTCGACTTAATTGAATTACTGATGTAAAATTAACTCTTTCGTGATGAAAAACATGTACTAAGAATCAACTACTTACTTCTTGAACTTTGCTTCTTTAATTCTCTTAATACTCTTGCAATAATACATTTAAATACGTCAAATCTGCCAACCGCCAAAACAATTGACAGCTAACTAAAAAAACCAAACAAGTAACACCACCAAAAAAGTCACGATTAACGTCCGTTTCTTCTATTTAAAACCATTTCCCTCTCTTTTTAACTTTCTAAACCATATCGCTTTTTCTTATCAAAATAATGCATCGTTTTAGAATAATCAAGACCTGTATTAAAAACTTCCGCGATAACACTACCTTATCTTGAAACTAATTAGCTTTTAAGCAGCGATAAACAACTTTTATCACAACGACCGGAGATAACACTATTACAAATACTTTCTCTTTTAACACGTAACACAACTGAACAAAGATCTACACAAAACAAAAGGGGATTATTTAAACAAAATTAACTTTCAATACATAATAATAACACAAAACCTGAATTTTTAACGTTAAAAATAATTGAAATGCATATAAAGGGTGCCACATCGTTATTGCAAGTGCCGAAGCCAAATACCACTTGATTTACCATCGATTTTTGGTGGATTAAGTTGAATTTCTGTCGTACCAATACCTTTTCGAGAGCTTCTTTGAGGAGCGAACGGTTAATAAGCCCAACCCAGCAACCTGTAAATATTATTGTGGAGGACAAATTTTGTTTCTGCTGATTAGAATTTGACTTACCCAAAAACGCAAGAGTAAGTGGGTTATTGACGTAAATTCTATTAATGTGAAAAATTCAGCAGCCTTAAGCGCCTCCAAAGGTTCAAAGAATGAATTAAGGAATTTTTAATAACACCTGAATCTAAGTAGGTACCACTAAAAAATTTATTTTAACTTGAGAACTCTAATCTGTGTCGTAATTAGGGCTCGATTAAACACATTACAGATGAAATAAATGTATTCGATGTAAAGCAATCGAATAAGCTGAAAGAAAAATAGTCGACTTAGGGCCAGAAGACAAATACTACGCAACAAGGGACCAATATAACAAATTAATTAATTAAGTTATTAATTTTCAATTAAAAGAAATCTTAATTATCTTAAAGTGCTACATGGTGCTACATATCAAAAATGTCGGGGCGTAACTGCGATTTTCAACAAGCAAAACGCACAAACACAAAAACTAGCTGATGTTGCTTCTGGAACTTTCTTTAGTCCCTTACTTTAAACTTATTTCAATTACAGATGTAAAATTAGCTAAATTGGTTAAACCCATATCCACATATCCTGGCGTTCAGTGAATTTACCTAATAATTATGGAGAAGCCTTGATTTCGCGTCCCTTGCTTAGAAAGTGCAATTTACAAAATATCGAAGTACGAACCTGAAGCGGTCGTGTATCGCAGCGCCACTGCACCGTAGCGGTACGCAATCGAAACGAGCGCGCACAGTTGATATCTGTCTGTTTTCGTGTGAAGTTGGCAGATTGCGTTCGAAAGATTCCCGTTTGTATTTTTGTGCAAAATATCAAATTATATTGACGTGATTTGCGAAACTGCAGCTGCCATTCGCGAGATCGTAGCGTGACGGACCCGAATGACATCCACCGTAAGTGAATTTGCAATTAGTAGCGCGTAGAATCTTCTGCCCTTTCTTTGTTTAGACCACCACTAATCGCGGCTGCCATATTACCCCATGCAGATTACAAACATTCCCCTTTTCGGGGGGATTTACAAATTAGACGATTGTAAAGCACATTCTGTGACAGCTAATTGCTCGAAAAACTAGTTTGAGCGTTTCACTTCCGTGTTTCCTAACGTCGGCACAAGGTCTCCATTCTTTGTTTACGTTTTGTCTTTAGGCGCGCGTGTTATTTCTTTGACCTGTATGCCCAGGGTCGACTAAGTGACCGTTTATTTACTATTGCTATTAGTGGCTAATTATAATAATCAGTTCGGAAAGAATGGAGTTGGCGCTTTTGTTATGGCAGTCAGCTGTTGTCGGTGCAGGTCAACGAGACGACGTACGTTCGATCGTCGCGCTTATTCGATATTCGTGCACGTGCAAAGCGCATACGTCTTTGATTGCCGTCGATCGTCACATCTGCGCATTTGTTCCGTTCTTGTTGGTTTTTTGAGGTAGACGGGACGGGAACATTTTGCTTTTACTAACACAAGGAAGATTGTTGACCTCTCCTCCTATCATTCCCTTTTTCACAACTTTAAATAATACCGAAGAACAATTGGAGAACGGCAACTGAATGCCATCGCGCTGCGCGCTTGTTCGTCGTTCATTTGCTTTGTTGTTCGGACGAGGGCATTAGCAGAAACTAGCTAATTAAACGTTTTTAATTATCGTGCCCAACACAAAAGAAACATAGTCCAGTCCCCTCTGGGCAATTAGCGCCGTTTGAAAAACGAGGGTGACGCGTACCTACGTGTGGGTGAACTTTCTCCTCAAAACTGGTTGTTGGTAAACTGAAAGTGTTGCCCTTCACTTCTAATCTCATTCTTAATTATTATATAATTTGCTTTGACGTATACGTATTGTTGACAAGTGCAGACTGTTCTCTGCCACGTTCTATGTTCCCAACTTCTTACAGTTCCTCGGTTTTCTTCAGTAGGCTTCAGGAGGTGCAAGTTGTCATTGTGACTTACGATCTAGAGAGGAACGGAGGGGTAAAGAAAGCATTCCTCCCTCAAGAATAAATTACAAAGTACCTACCTGCATCTTTATTATTAGGACCTTCGATTGTTTCGAATTCTTTTGTTTCTTCAAGGACTCATGGAATCTTTCTGTTTCTTATGGTTCTGCCGATTTTTAGATACGTCAGATTCATAAGATTTCCAGAATACTAAGATTCTTCAATTTCTGCGAATCTATTCGATGGAGTGTTGACATTTTTTTTTGGAAACTGGAAATAGGTACATATACAGTTTTGTTTGATTAAAAATAAAAATTTATTTTTTTATTTAATTTTTGTTTCATAGGTAGGTATGTAATTATGTATCATCAAGAGTCAGCTAACATAATACTCGAGATAATACTATTTTAAAATTGTATAAGTATAGATTATGTTTCTGTAATTGGGCGCAAGCCTGTTAAGGGCCTAGAACAAGAGAGGGATAATAATAAATAAATATGTAAATAAATGTTGTTTTTTTATTTTTATATTTTTTTGGTTTTCGAATTTTTCAAAACCACCTGAAGTAAACATACCCGCCCCCCTCTCCTGAATATTATAAGTGCCTGCATTTAAAATGTAACGTGTTGTTTTTTGTATTTTAGATTTTTTTGGTTTTTCGCATTGTTCCATTTTTCAGATTTTTAATAATGATTATAAGTAAGTAAGAACGAAGATAAATACAACCAATATAAGGAACAAAGGAGAAAAGTAAAAAATATGGTCAAAGAAGCAAAGGAAGCAGCATGGCAAGAATTTGGGAAAAGGATTGAAGTAATAGTAAAGAAAATCAAAAACTGTTTTACAAAATTCAGAAATCGCTGAGAAACAGGAAACCATTAGGAACTAGGGTAATCAAAAATAAAGTAGGCCAAATTCTGACCCATCCTGACGACATTATGGATAGATGGAGAGAGTATTTCCAGGAGCTGTTAGGAGGAAGATTAAATAATGAGCAAAGTGATCGGGAGGGAATGGATGAAGGCAATAAAAACAACCATGATAAGAAAGAGACAGAACACGAGAACCAAGAGAATCGACAGGATAACCAACAACTAGAAAATATATCAAAAGAGGAAATTAAAGCTGCTTTACGGAAAATGAAAAACGGGAAAGCCCCGTACAAATGATGGGAAGAGAAGAGAAGCAATGAAGAAAATACGAGAGTTGCATAATAAAATATGGAAGGAGGAACAGATACCAAAAGATTGGGAAATTGGTCAAATAGTTCCAATTTTTAAGAAAGGAGACAATAAACAATGTGATAATGATAGTTACAGGAGTATCACTTTATTGAGCGCACCCCTAAAACTTTACGAACAAATCTTGGAGAGTAAACTAAGAAAAATAATAGAACCAACCCTCCTAGAAGTCGAGAGTGGTTTCCGCAAAGGCAGAAGCGTGCAGGATAACATATTTATAATAAAGAAAATTATTTCAAATACACGGCAATCCAATAAAAAAGTACATAGGATTTATAGATCTGAAGAAAGCTTTTGACAAAGCACCGAGGGGAATAATATGGGAGAGCCTGCAAAACAGAGGAGTCGATCTAAAATTAATAACATTGTACAAGAATACGAGATATTACGTAATTAGCAATAATGGTACATCAAAGGAATTCTTAACATCGGAAGGGCGGAGGCAAGGTGGAGTAATGAGTCCGGTCTTATTTACAATATTAATGGACGACATAGAAACATTTGATGATATATAAAATCATGTCCAGACGTTCAATTTTCTCTTTGTGAGTGCCTGCCACGACACTCCGTTCTTGGGAGATTCGTTATGACACGGCTAATAGATACATGTTGTCAAGACCAGTGTGAAGTTATCAATAACCACCCAGCAATAAGTACACTGCATATTTGTTAGCAATATAGCAAAAAATATGCATATAAATGGATCAATCTTCCTCAGCTCTTTCTTCAGGGAGTTCAAAGGAGTTTGAGATCTAATGGAGGTTTACAGTATAGTTGAATTCAGCAGTTCTAATTTAATAAGCGTGTACCTGAAACCATAAAACATTTTTTTGGATAGTAAAAGTTTATTTAAAAATAGAGGCTGATTAGCAAAAAAATAATGAACATGTGCGGTTTTAAATGTTTATTCAAAACGATATGATTGTGGCGGGCTCTGTGACGTAATAAGCCCGACCAATCAGCTCCTAGGACCATTCAGATGACATAACGACTTGGCAATATTGCAGGAGAATGGCATTTATAACTTGCGTCATCTGTCACAGGCACTTGTCACTTTCGTGCTAGATGCAGTTAAACATCCCTCTCAAAACGTCAAATGTGACAAACGTCAGACCCTCGCGTAAGGTTGCCAGCTCACTTCTACGTGATTGGTTGTAGGTTTGTGACGTATTTAGTCTGAATCGTTTCAAATTCGGACTAAAAACACAGCTTTACAATAATTTATTTTGTGTTTATTTTACTCGCAAATAAAAATTGAGGGCACACGGGTCTTTTTATTTTTAATGTACTTTGTGGATCAGAAATAAAAAATGAAGGCGGGATGACCCCATTATATCAAATTACACCAATACAATTACTTATATACACATCCGCTGAGTCGTTGTTTAAGTCAATTTTTGTAAGAGGGAGATTTGTTACAGGGTGGTTCAAATTCGTGGGTTACCATGTGGTCTCCGTGAGAGATTCAATGTTGGTTAAATGGGGGCAAAGTTGTCCTTTTTTGTAACTAAAAAACTTGACATAAATCCGTGAAAATAACTGAAATATTTCGGAAAACTGAAAATGTCAATTTTCATTTTCCCCTGTCTTAAACGGCCGGAAATGGACCGTTCCTCTATCTGTATGTATCTTCTATGGGCACTTTTCTTGGTAGAATCCGAATGGATTCATTTGAATGCATCGCCATCATATTATTATATATCATTGTCTCTCTCATGCCGTAAAACTCCAATGTTTGATTTGGTGCCGATTGGCGTTATTTTGTTTTTCGAACAATCTTCATAATTTCCTTATTTTAAGGACTTCTTATTGAATAAAAATAAAAATTTTTGAAACTATCTTTCGGCTCTCTAAAACAATTGTATTTGCATTTTTTTTTATTTTCCCAAATAACAATAGCGACCGATAAAACATTTCAAAAATACATTTTTGAAAGTAAAACATTTTTATAGAATCCATACACTACGGGGTTTATTCTTTATTAGTTTATTAAAATCATTTTCTTGTACTTATTTGTCGAATCATATTGTCACGACTCAAAATATGAATTATCAAATATTAAAATCTGCACCATGGAATTATCTGAATTTTTCGATTTTTTAAATAATTTATTAAAATTATTTTGGAATTTGTCGAATCATATGTAGATATCGTCACGACTCAAAATATGAATTATCAAATTTTGAAATCTGCGCTATGGAATTATTTAAATTTTCCAATTTTTTAAAATTATTTTTTGCAAGTATTTGTCGAATCATGCAGATATCTTCACGACTCAAAGTATGAATTATGAAATTTTGAAATCGGCGCCATAGATATGAATTTTCCGATTTTTTTTAGATGTATTAAAATCATTTTTTGTATGTATGTCTTGAATTATATGTAGATTTTTTCACGACTCAAAATATGAATTATCAAATTTTAAAATTTGCGCCATGGAATTATCTGAATTTTCAAAAATTGTTTTTAATTTATTGAAGTTATTTTTTTTGTATTTGTCGCATCATATGCAGAATGAATAGGAAAGAAACCTATATGGCAAACGGAAAATTTGAACGAACCAGTCTGTGTTTAGGGGACAAAGTGCCAATAAGAACGAAGTGTCCCAAAAATAAATTAAAAGGGAAAATCTGGACGAGACGTATCTGTTTTAAGGCTCAGGAGCAAAGATCTTAAGAACGGAGTGTCAAGAGGATATTCACTACGAGAAAGTAGTAGGCCTG